AGTGAGAACTTAATTGGTGTCCCAAGATAATTGTTGCTAACTGGTGGAGCTGGTGACATTTTGCATGTCACTTGTAGTTTCTACCCCTGTGGTATATTAAGAATGTTGTTTGAGCAAATGAGTTAGCATTTTAATTGCAAATCAATCTTTTAAAAAAATCAGCTTATATATCGTCTATGAAAATATCTTCCCAAGTGTTCCTAAAAGTTCAATGTGAGTTTGCATTTGGTTCTCTGCAGTTTTTGGTGTTTCGTGGAAGAGCATTTATGGGAAAGGATATGGAGAAATACAAAGTGCTTCTAACACATCAGCTTGGTGACATATGCCAAATTACTGAACTAATCTTACATTTGTTCATCAAGTTCAGTTGGTTAACCTAAAGACAAAGATAATTGTACCTGTTTCTATAAAAGCTAAGCTATCCTGCTACTGGAAAAGGTGCCTATAAATGTCAAGCCCATATTTTATTCAAATAAGAGAAATATGCTAGTCATAAATACTTGAATTGACATAAATGATTTTGTAACTCTTCCTTTCCTTTAGCCTTGGGATCTTTCACATAGTCTGAAAGCGCAATACACTTGTAAATCATGTCCACTGCGGTTGATTAGATTATTCTTTAGCAGAACTCAGTTTCACACTTAAAAAAAATCAATCAAATGTCATTATGCCTTTTGTCAGATGCCAAATTGTTTTGGCAACCTCTGTATCACTTAAGTAACCCATCTGTGAATTAGCATGGCATCCTTCCTCAAACCTTGGGCCTCTTGCTACTCTGTTTAGACCTTGTAAAAGCGTACTTCCTGTTTTTGGTGTTCACATGTGCTAACATTCGTGTGTGTGTGTGTGTGTGTGTGTGTGTGTGTGTGTGTGTGTGTGGGCGCGCGCATGTTCGCGCGCATGCATGTGTGCACATGCGCACATGTCCTATGTGTGGTGTGTGTGTGTGCGTGTATGTGTGCACACTCACATGCACTGTGGTTTGCTGTCTACAGTCCACACAATGTACGTTTACTTAGTAGCTTGTTTACTTTTAGACAAGATGGAAATCCAGCTCTATTTCTAGAGCCTTCACATAGATCAGTTTTATGGTGCATTTGAGTTGTGAGGTTTCAGCTACATGTTTATTCAACATTAAACACACCAAGTTTTATATGTGTTTACCAACTTCTTTGTGGCACTTTCTATACATTTTCTTCTTTTTATCTCTGGGGTTGTTTTTTGTCTTGTTGCAATTTTCTCTCTTTAAAGATATATCTGTTATTCAAATAGGAGTGTGGCTTGGGAGAGAACATCCCCAAGCATCTTTAGAACTCCACCAGGCCCTGTGCTAATGCATCTCTAATGGGGATATTTCCTATCACACCTCGAAGGTGATTGAGCCTGTCCTTTAAAGGGAGATTTGCAAACCAGTGTCTGGCAGCTCCAATTAGCTGCTTTTTGGTTTCAAGCACATCACAAACAGTAACAAGGTCTCCTAGGACTCCTCTTGACAACAGTGTAGTCATATTTCTTCATTAGTTCTTTTCATTTGTCACTAATGCCATGTTCTGGCTTTTGAGTAGGAGACCAAAAAAAAAAAAAAAAAAAAATCAGTATGTATACTGGGTCATTGTTTTCCATAATTCAATGTTGATTTGATAATGTTGACGCTTACAAAGCTTAATTCATTAACCTTGGCCCTTCACATAAATCAGGTGATTAGAAAACTGTTGCTGCAAAGACAGACTTTTTCCTTCATCAGAACTGAGAAATGCTTTCTTTCCTTAAAAAAGAAAAGAAAAAAAATACACCTTACACATCTCATGAACCTTTCAGTTTTTAAACTTTACAAATGCTTCAGGTGTATTTTAGAGCCTTCTTAAAAGCAAGTGTGTGTAAAATTATCAAAATTAATTTTGTCCTCTCTATCTTAGAGCGGGTTTTCTGGCACTGTTCTTCATTCTAAAAGAGAGAAAGAATATATATGTATGTATGTATATATATAATATTCATTCTCAACAGCTGTTACTCAGTAATTTACAATAGTGAGACTTGAAATTTTTCTTCTTCACACCCTTGCTGAAGCATAAAAGCAAGAAAATAATCTAAGGGCTGACAATTGAGAATAAACTAGAGTGTCTAAATGAGCCCAAGGCATTTGATCTGGAAGAAAATATTTACATGGAGCCTCGTTTTGAAGCAGATGACATAGGATTTCCAGGGAAGGTAGGTCTGCCCTGGGTCCCTTACAGGTGCAGATGGGAATGTGCTTTGGGAGTCTTTCCTTCCCCCAAATACTCAGAGCTCAGGAGCAGAGCAGTGTAGGCCTGGCTGGGTGTGATTGAATGGAATACTTTAACAGTTCCTGATATTTTTTGGACTCTTTCAAGTATGTCATTTTTCTTGTTCATGCATTTACCCTTTATAATCTCACTCTTGCTACTTCCCCTAAAGACTAGACTACACTTAGTGCTTCTTTCCTTTTTTTTTTTTTTTTTTTTTTTTTTTTTTTTTGGTTCCGATATTGTCATGAGAACTCTTGGATCTATGTAGAATGTTTGCCATATAGTATTCAGAGGTCTGTCCTTTGGAATGATGGGGACTAAGTATAGAAAAGGTGGGTTCTGATGATAGGTGCTGGTGTGTGGGCTCTGTGGACCGATAGAGCGATAGAATTTGTTTTCGCTGCACTGGATAGAATGTTCTCTCGTGTGATGTATATAGGAATGGAGACACACAGGTTCTAAATATCGTTTATTTTTCAGTCACATTGCTCAATTGTGTCAGATTGTCAATTTGAAAACATTTTTTATCTTTTAAAAATGTTTCAAAATACCACTTAAAGTTATCATATATACCTGTCATGAAAATTTGTATCATTTCTATTATTTACTTTTTTTTTTTTCTACTTACGTGGCACACAATGAGGTGAGTGTGCTCATACCAAGAGTCTATAAAACAGGGTGAATGTGATTCCTCTAGATGTGTTCTGGAATGGACTGTAATGGGCATTGCCGTCTAGATTCATAGAATTTGAAAGTTCTGTCATCAAATATCACCTCAATGGATGATTTAAAATTATTATTATTTTTTTTCTTTTTGCTGTAAATCCTTCAAGAAATAGTTTGTTTTTGTTAATGTATTACCTTTTGAGGAAGTGGCATGATTTTGCATCCTGTCCATTTCTCTGTCATTTGGGGAGGAAACTCAGTGCCCCTGTCGTTCAGCTGCGTGTGGGCAGTCGGCATCCTGGGGTTAGTTGTCTTGTTTTATGTACATGCTGGTTTTGTTGGGAAACTGTGTTTGATTATCTGATACAGCAAGCTTCTTTCTGTTACCTGCTACCTTAGCCCTCTTTGTGAATTGTAATGTTTGTACGTGTTCATGGCGTATTCAGTATAGACTAAATGCAAATAGATTGAGTGAGAGGCTGCATTTGCTTAGTGTCTTTCATAATCAAATACAAATCAGGCATTTTAAACTATTGTATGAAGCATGAGAACAAAATACAATTAATTTTTTTCATTGTCGCCACAACATATTGTGTTAACTTTTTTTAATCCAATAAGAATCATAAAATATGGATCTATGATATTGCACAAAGTGTTCAGGAAATTTTAAATCATTAGGATATTGTAATAATCTGTGGCTTTTATTTTGTTTGTTTTTAGCATGAGAAAAGTCACTGTAAGCCATCTGTAATATGTAGCTTGAATTGTTTCATTTGTTTTAGCATTTTTAAATGAACTTATTACAATGCTGTATTATAGCCAAATGATATGAATTTAGGTTTTAAAAGTTTCCCATCGCAATAGTCTGTCTCAGTCCTAACTCTGTTGTGTTTTAAGTTCTCTCTGTAATTATTTTTTTAGATTGACTAGCCAAAGAAGCATGTTTGCTTGGTTGCCTGGGCAAACAAGAATTGTTTATTATTCCATTACGACAAAATTCTATAAAAGTACTTTAAAAGAAAAATGTCTTTCTTACTGACTTAACCTTCAATAATGAATTATATGGGATAAAATTATATAAAATTCCCTGACATTTTATGAAGATACCTACAGATATGCCAGGCAGCAAACGAAATATCTGGAAGACAGAGATGAGTTTTGATAGATTAAACACACGGGCTCCAGACCGCTTGACCCTTCCCCCCTCACAAAGGCTGATGACTCATTTCTTCTTACCCTTTTGCTCAACTGCTGTCTGTACGATTAAAACAGGGCATGCATTGAAGGACATCTGTGCCTGTGCATCAGTCTGACAGTACAGCTTTCTGATATTTATGAATTAGGTAGGGTGGTTAATCGTTATTTTTAAAATCTATTAAATTCTCTTCTATAGTTCTGTGAGGGCTATACTGAAAAATCTTTTAACTTAAGTGAAAATCAAAGAAATATTTTTAAATATAATGGTATAACTAAAATAGTCTATATAACAGTTCATTTAAAGTATTAAAAATGAAACATTTTTAAAGTGAAAGTTATATCATACTTTTATATTCTGGTTTTATATCCTTTATCAGTTACAGATTTTTACAACGTTGTATTTTATGTTGAATAAAATTTCTTCAAATGTGCATTTCATGGTATCAAACTTCAGAATTAAAAATTGGACTCTTAATAATTATCATTCCTTTGAAATGTCTATCTACTGCAATTTTGGTTAGTTATTTTATATCATCTTATGTGTACACATTCATTATGCCACATGGGTTTATCAGCTCTTCCTGCCCATGTTTGCAGTGGTCTTAAAGGAATGCCTCCGTCCTGTCTCTTGGGTCCTGAAGGACGCTGGTCACAGAGGTGGTATTGAAACCACTTAGGAATCGAGCTCTTTCCGTGGCGGCAGAGAGCATGAGAGTCCCTGAGACACCCTGAACGAGGGGCGTTGAAAGCAGAGGACTGACTGGGCTGTTTGTGCTCCTCTGACCTCTGACCTCTTGTGGACCTGTGGTCTATCTCTTGCTAATTTAACTGGGATGCATTAGTGTAACTCCACCACTTTGTGTGTTTCAGGTGTGTGGAGGTCATTGCCAAGGAGGGGCAAAACCTGAAAGAGCTGTACTTGGTGTCCTGTAAAATCACCGATTATGGTATGTAACGAGCCTTTGTCCTAACCCCTTACCCTTAGGTGAATAAAAGTCTCAAAAATCATAAAAAGTTATTTAAAGAGAAATCAGGAATCATCTTAGAGAGAAATTTGCGTTAATTTATGTTTATTCTGATGAAACAAAATAAAGGAAAAGGAAATTGTAGTCTAAAAACCACTTAAATGAAAATGTGCCCGTGATCTCATAGTGATGCACACCCCCAGAGACACACCTAACACACCGGACTAACGACTGTGGACTGAGGAGGAAGGAAATGAAAATAACTTTATGTGTGTTCACTTGCTCACATAAGTGCTATGTACACTGTATGCCTGATACTGCAAGCCTTGTTAATGCTGGAGAGGCTGGAAGGCATCCGAGTGTTCACATTTAGAGAGTATGAAGCAGTGGTACTCATTTGCATCAACATGTAAAGTCAGACGTGTGTATGTTCACCTTATTCCTAAGGGGCGACGTTCTTTTGGCAGGGTGTCTCTCTGCTTTGCCCTGTTCAGATTGCGTCCTCTCTCAATGTCACAGGCGTGGGCCCACTTAGGGTGGGGGAAGGTGATTCTTCAACACTGTTGCAGGGCGCATTGGCTCTCAAGCAGCAGCTCACGGGACATACTGTTCATGACTCTTGTCCAGATCTTCACAGGTGTTGAGTGTGGTTGAACGTACATACTCAGCGGCACCAAGCCAGGCTGTTACAAAGCCATGCATGTTCATTTAAATTGATACAGCTGTCACACAGAGAGCCATCATACTAATGTGCTCCTGACTCCTCAAATTAAACAGATCTTTATGGTAAAAAGATAACAATTATATAAACAAATCGGTAAGTCAGCAACACAGCCTTGGGAGATTGCTCCCTGAAGAGGAATCGATACTGTCCCCTTCTGTCAGTGAACAGTTGTAATAAGTATGGGGGCGGTGGGCGGGGGGACATAGCAAGTTGGGTTGTTGTGTCTTTTTCATAATCCTAAAGCCATCTGTTAAGCCACCTAACATGTTACGCAGAAGGTAATAAAAAGGAGTAAAAATATCCTATGTAGTTCCCACTGCTCTACTGGACGCCCACTAACGGTTAGTTCTTATAAATCACCCCCATCCCCCAGACACACTCGGAACTTCTCTCTGCAATGTAATGGGTAATGTAACATTACCTATGCCAGCCTGCAGCTGCCCGGATGACCCCCCAGCCCTGGGCCATCAGGAAGGAGAGAGAATGATCCGACAGAAGTCCTGTGTATTTAAGTCAGCCCCTAGCTTGTCTTTTAATGCTCTTTCTTCCTGGAAACTCTTGGTTTCTTGTATATCTTTCCATGTTTCTAGGCTAGTTCAGCCACTAATCTCTTTTTGCTCTTTAAAACTACTTTTTGAAAATTCTCATTCAGCAGAGTGTCCATTGCAGTTACGAAGATAACAAGGACTGGGAATCAGTCCATATCAGCCACATTTACAGAGGCCGGCATAGCCATTCCCCCGGCATAGCCATTCCCCTGGCACCGCGAACGTCGTAAAATACAGTAAACAGAATGTGTCAAGCAAGCGCTTATCTCCGTTGGTGTCTCCAGTGTGACCCGTGTCGTGGGGAGCTGTAAAAGGGTCCCAGGTTATCTGAGAGTTGTTGGCGCATTTCTTTTTACTTTAGCACTCCAGAGGACCCTTAGATGTTTTTGTTTCCATCCTCAAACTGTCAAGTAACCTTCAAAGAGGACCGCTGACAATGAAGTCTAGGCCCTTCAAGGTCACTAACCGCACGGGTCACTGTGTTTTGACTAGCTTTTTCAGAGCTGCAGTCGGCCCAGGCTTTTGACGAGTGCTGCATACATCCCCAGCCCGGGGAGTCAGTTGCTGCCACTCCACGTGCCCCTCTGCTCCTCCCACCAGTCCAGAAGTGCTCCCCGAGCCACTTCTTACCTGCTAAATTCCGCTCTTGGGCACGTTACTTCTCACATTGGGGCCATTTTAACCCGGCAGCAAGCCATGCCACCTTGGGATTGCTCAGGCATTGTTATCCTGGGAGCTGTCGTTTCAGTTGACACAACAGTTGCAGACCTGAGACATGTCCAGTCCGTCAGGATAGACGTCAGCACCCACTGTGTACTGGGCCCTGTTCTGTGTGGGGAAGAGGCGTGGTTCCTCCGTTCCTTGGAGGCCAGGGCGGCCCTGCACGGCTTGGGGCTGGAGGAGGAGATCCAACTTCTCCCAGGAAACAGGGTGGTTGGGGTGGTCCGGTAAGATCCATCTTTTTCTGTGCTTGTCACCCTTGCCGTGGTGACCTCCCACCACCCCTGAAAGATTAATGAGCTGTTCCTTCTGCAGCCCTTCTTGGGATCCCAGATCCTTTTTGCTCTTAGTCCACTCAAATTAGGATCTGGGCTGCATCATCTCAGCAAGTCAAGAGCCAAAGAATCCAAATAAGGCCTGCGGCCAAAACACTTATTCCTTTCAAGTCTTCCATCAAAAATCAATTCATCCATATTATACTATCTTACTTTTCATATCATTAGGTGTGTATTACCTGCAATGATGTTCCATTTAAAATAACATCCTCGCTTTTTCTTTTTGTTTGGCTTTAAATTGTGTATTAAGCTGCTCCGAGATTGCTGGGTAAGAGTCCTCTGTTTCTGTCAGCAGGCCTAACCAATAGCTGTGAAGTGACAGAGAGGAGCCATAGAACAGATATTTGCAAGTCAAAAAGAATGCTTTATTGCTTACTGTTATTGTTCTCATTTTCCATTCTCTTATTTAAACATAAATAGCACTCAGTGTTGCCTGCCTGCAGAATAGCACTACTTTGCTGAACCCTGTTTTGCAAATTCCCATTTTTTATATGTCTATTTAAAAATTTCTCTCTATTTCTACTTTATTCTTCATACTACTGCATTTGATGATAGCATGATACTTTTTCTTCTAAATAGTGAGCCTGATTTCTCACCTGAAATTCAGTATATGTGAAATATGAATGAGTGAGAATTTATTTCCCTCCCCCTGCCGTGTGTGTGTGTGTGTGTGCGTGTGTGTGTGTGTGTGCGTGTGTGTGTGTGTTTGCCTACTATAGTATATAAGGGACAATTTGTGGGAGGCAGCTTTCTCCTGCCATGTGGGTGCACAGGACCAGACTCTTGCAAAGACTTTGCCTACTGAGCCATTTTGCTGCCCTGACATATGTAGCTATACCCTACCTGAATGCTTTTGGTTGCTAAAAGGAGTTGACTTTCTTCCCTGGTTACTGTCTCTGTCACTACAGGATGGTAGCCAGGACCCCTTGGGATAAAACCCTGGACAGTGATAGTGTTTATGCCATTTGCAGTGGTAAGCTACAACGTTCAGATTTAGTTAAGGACTTTTAAAAATACTTGTTGAAACAACATTACTATTGAAAAGAGAGCCACCCTCTTAACAGCACCAAGAATCCCATTGCATATGCAGTATCTGTACTTTTTATATCCGCAATGCTTTATGGTTTTCAGGCCTTTGTGTCTGTGCATTGTATGCATTTGTTATCCCTTTAAATGTATAAGAAGTTTTCATACAGATTTTTCTCAGGCGCAGACAGGCACTATTTGTTAACGGAGTAGTCTTAACGGAGTAGTTTTGTCTTGCTAAATTTACTTATTAAATCTTGTAGCATTTAAAATTAAAAAATTAAGCTTTCTCTGAGGGAAAAAAAATTACTATGATAACCAACTGAATTTTAACTCTGTCTTTAGTAGAGCTTTGAAGTCAAGAAATAGCCTAGCCCATATTTTCAAGGTAAATAAATCTGTTTTTATAATGATGGCACATGAATGATCTTACATCTCCAAGCACGTACACACATACGTACAGTCGTTATAAATTAACTTTTTATAACTGAATGCTATAGTTTTACATTAGCCATTATCTGAAATGTGACCTTCCCAACATTCTTTTCCTATATTACGTCTGTATTTTGGAAGTACTGTGCCTCTTTTCAGCCGGCCGTTATTAACATCACCCTTAGTAAAGGGGTCGTCTCTTCCGAACATGGAAAACTTAAGCAGATCTCAGGGTCAGTTTCTGCCATTTCATTGTGCGGTGCTTTCCGCTCTGCAGTGTGGGCGTTTGGGTTGTTGTCACTGCTGTTGCTGCGGCGGCTGTAAGCACGAACCCAGTCAGGGCCATGATTGTTCCTCACCAGTGAGGTTTCAGTGATGAGTGGTGTGTAGGTGGCGTTGTGACACCTACACTGAGCACTGGACAGTAACAAAGCTTCTCGCTTCGTAGTATTCAGTGAAAGAAAAGGGACACGTTGCTCTTCACGTGTCGTTGCAAATGCTTTCCTTGGGTGCTAATGAGTTCTCTACGGAAAGATGTGTGCAGGCAGAGAAAACCCCCAGGAAGAGGTGGGAGGATGGAACCCTGGGCAGAAACTTGTCCTATCTGATCTCTAAATCCGTTCCTAATCCCAGGCTTTATTGCCCACTGTTTCCTTCAGCAAAGCTCTGGTCTTAAGTGTGCACCCCGCTGGTGGGATGCAAGGGAAATCCACACAGAGAAGCAGCTAAGAAGGAAGAGCCATATACCAACAAGCTCTCCATCACTGTAAACAGTACGGTGGTGTCAGTTCAGAAGGTCTGTGAGTGTCAGGTGTATGAGAGGACAGAGTCATCATGGACTGCCCAGCGGGGGAGTGATTGTGAGAGAGGCAGCAGAGGAAGGCAAGACGCGGAACACGAACAGGTGTCTGAATGGACGAGTTTGTGTGCATTGACTAATGTAAAGAAAGATCAGAAGTCATCCAAATGATGACGTGCGCACACAGGCAAATGCTGAAGAAACCTCATGAACATACTCCGATTGAAAATTCAGAATAAGTTCCAATTTTCTTTTTCAATTTATCCTGTCTAATTCATCATTCCCATGGCAACAACTTCACTTAACATATAGAAGGAAACATTATGTTGGGTAATGACTCCTAATAAAACATGTAGCTCTACTGAGAACAAATATAAACTGTTGTCATGATAGAATAA